TTCGATTAACATGGAAATCATTGGGGGAGGCCTATGTTTAGCAGTGGACGTCTAATGGCTGAAATGATGATGATGAAAAAAATAAAAATTAACGGTCTATGAAACGAGTTTCTCCAGAAGATATTTCAAATACACATAAATACTTGCACATACGTTATATTAGATTCAGATCGATTGAATTTTGATTGGAGAATTCTGGTGCTCTATAATACATGCCTAATCTAAGGCTGAGTTGCATCACATAATTTTAACGGTAACTTTAACGATAACCGGTGTTTTTGTATGGAGTTTGACAGATTGTTTACGTTTGTCACAGGTAAAGTATGATGGTGCAATCCAGCCATACGCCCGTATTCACAAACATTACTATGAGGTCTCACAGTGCGCGTGAACGCACAGGGTGATATACGAACCAATCATAGAGCTCTATTCAACGCCGTGCGTTCGATTTGCTGCTTCACTTATGCAAGCATCGTTTGTGAATACGGGCGTAAGTCTCTTTGTTTACCACATTTGAAAGTTATTTTTATGTTGTAACATTTTAGATTGCGAAAAAAAATAAAGAATTTTTATTATTTATCTAAAACAGCAAACGATTTTTGATCTATTAATTACTCATAGTTATAGAATTTCCTTCAGAATAAAACAAAATAGCCGTAATGCGCGAACAAGATGTAATACCGACACGATACATCATCGTTGCGGTACCGGGCCCGGTCCGGAAGAATGGAATCGATTTATCAATTATCTACAATTTTCCGCTTTTCTTATACGGAGTATGGTTAGCATAGTTTTTGTACTATGTAAAAGGGCTTTGGAAAACTACTTGTAATTATGTTATTTGAGAACAATCACAGCTGCCCCGGCCTAAGGCCCTAGCGATTCGGTAGGGCTTAATAGAAAGTGTGTTTTGTACTGATATGAACTTTTTCCACTTATTAAAAAATTCAATTTGATGCGTCAAAGGAGCACTTTAAAAATTGCTTTCAGTTTGTTTCAGTCAACTCTAATGAGTGTCATCTAAAATAAAATTAGCAAGATTCTTAAAGTCAAACAAAAGTTTTCAGGGAATCAGCCTTTAGAGGTCACTTAGCACATTTTAAGGCAAAAAGGTCAATAAATTCAATCTAAAAAATTTAGGTCAAGACGTTCAAATGGAGCTTCCGAGCTGACCTTACCCGTTCCGTTGAGAAATTCAATTCATTCGTGGATTTGAAAAGATTTTCGGTGCGTATACCGAATACCGGTTACCTTTTCATATTTCGACTGGTCCGCCGGAAACTGGGAGGCAATTCTTGAGTATCGAATCACGTGTAAGAGCCAATGGATCGATTTAATTTATTATTCGTTGTGTAATACGATTCAATTTCGTTATATCTCGGGCTTTTCTTTGATTCTCATTTCATTACCATTTATTGTTTCTTGGTATTAAGAAGCTGTAAATATTTTTGTGAATGGAAAGCAATTTCTTGAAATAAATTGGGAATCAATTGTTTTCGTTTTGTTTTGAAAGTAAATGATACTTAATTTATTTTAATTGGAGCATGAAATGGAAGGGAATTAGTCTCATCTGTAATTGACGTACACAAGAATGAATAATAATATACAAGTTGTGTCAAGTAAAGGATGGAAATTAACAGGATCAAACCAGGCTTTGATCATATAACTTCGCGGTGGAGTAGACTATTACTAGTAGACTATTTACATTCATCCACACAACTATACATATATCGTACGTTGGGAGTGCGACGTTTGTATGAGAAACGGATCAATACATGATAACATCTTGGATTTGTGAAAAAAATAGCGTGAACGGCCCAATACATATAAAGGGCCTTATAATTTATTTTAAATTGGTCATACACACTCTATCACAATCCCTATAGAACTATTATTTTAGGATTAGTTTAAAACACTTGGAAAGAAAAGTAGATGTAATCTACCCTTAAATATTTTAGGTATTCAATTATAAGTGGATTAGGTCTCTTAAAATAAAACAACAAACTTTCGAAAGGCCTATAACATTGAGATAACTACATCTTTTGGTAAATATTTTTATGTCTACTTTAAAATTAAAATACAATAAACAGTTTCACGGTGACCTGAAACTTGAACTACAGATAAACAAAAAGTCCCGAGCTGCTTGTTTGTACAATATCAAGGTGAATTGTGTCATCTTAATGGTTAGAATAAGTGCTATTTTGCAGTAGTCTGTCATAAGACGTACAGGCTAAACAAAACAAGTTTAAGCCTAAAATCTAAATATATATCTAAATACATATTATAGCTCAAAGGTGACTGACTGACTCAATGACTGACATAGTATTAGTGATCTATCAACGCACAGCCCAAACCACTGGAACCACTGGCTGAAATTTGGCATGAAGATATATGTTATGACGAAGGCATCCGCTAATAAAGTTTACGAAACTACACCCCTAAGGGTGTAAAACAGGATCCACGCGTACGAAGTCGCGGGCGGCCGCTAGTCTTCAGTAAAATGGTACAACACTCTGAGTGGCAAATACACAATGGCCGAATTAGTATTTATTTATTTCTAGCCTAAGGAGATAAGTACCTAGACCGAGGTGGTCTGTGTTCAGGCTATAAGCTTCTTCTTCTTTTTCTCTCATAGCTTGAATTAAGTCGTAGTTTGTTTTCCACCTTATAACAGTAAACACAATTTAGCTTCTGTTGAAAGTCTCAAAAACTAACTGAAAATCAGTTCCAAACTTCGCACTTACGACCTTAAGTTTCTTGACTTAACATTGTAATTATTAAGTTAAGCCAAGTGTTCACAGATGCGATTACAGAGATTTACTTAACTTGACGTAATTGCATTAAAACTGTAAGGCTGAGTTGCACCACCTAACTTTGACTGTAACTATGACGATAACCGGTGTTTTTTGTATCGAGTTTGACAGATTTTTGACGTTTGTCAAAGTTAAAGTAAGATGGTGCAACCCAGCTTACACGTCAGGTTAATAAACAATACAATTAAACTTATTTAGAAGGGTCGCTGTACTTATATTAAATCTAATTAAATCTACATTAGTAATGCAATATATAGCGTTACTAAACACACTCGTTCTCGTTTCAGCCAAATGACGACCACTGCTGGACAAAGGCTTCCCAAGGAATTCCATAACGACCGATCCTGACCTAACCATATACATTATACTTCTCGCGACCTTCACCAGATCATCGGTCCACCTATTGGAGGCCTGCCTACTAGGTCTTCCGACCCGTGGTCACCACTCGAGAACATATCTAGTTCAGTTCAAATAATCACACTACCAAAAGCTTTTACGTTGACTACGACTATGTAATATACTTAGATACAGTGTGCTTACCATGAGTTTACGTTAGGTGTGCTCGCTAGCGACTGCGTAAAAAAATGACATTTAATTGTATGACATATTGTGCAGCGCCCCTAGCGGCTACTTTCAAGAAACAAAATCTTCATAGAGATTTTTGACGTACTCGCTAGCGAGCACACCTAACGTAAACTCATGGTAGGTACACAGAACAGATACATTTGCCCCCAGCGGGATTAGAGCCTGCGGCTACAGCTGCATGCGACTTGGTCTGGTAAGGTAAGTTACGGTTAATTCTTAAAAAGTTTACGTCAAAACTTTTAGAACAATCTTGCTTGATTCTTCTTCTTGAATCTTGCAGATTTCAAAGAATTTGCTAAGACAACAATGATTTGAAGACACATTGATAATGATGACCATAGTGATGAATTTACGTCAGGATTACAGTATTTTTCTGTGAAATCCAAGACAGTTAACGTTTTTTCTACATCATTAACGGGGTGGTAATTACGCATAGTAACGGAAAAAGTAAGGATTCGAGGAATTTGCTCGAAGATGCGATGAAGTAGGTATAACCTATTAGTAAGTAGTAATTAATGTGCTTGAGATTGCTTAATTAAGTAATTATTAAGGATATTATAACACCATGTCATTACTAAATGGTCATCTTGTCTTCTTGGCTAATTACTGTCAGAATAAATCAATGTTATGGGCACTTTTATTATTATGGCCCAATAAAAATAAATTACTATCCGTCTATTAAGAAGACCCGGACTGGGCACCAAATATATCCGATTATAAGAACCAATTCTGCGGCTTTGGTCCTTTGTCCACTCTCAGTGTGCCTACCATGAGTTTACGTTAGGTGTGCTCGCTAGCGACTGCGTAAAAAAATGACATTTAAATGTATGACATATTGTGCAGCGCCCCTAGCGGCTACTTTCAAGAAATAAGATCTTCATAGAATTTTTCGACGTATTCGCTAGCGAGCTCACCTAACGTAAACTCATGGTAGGCACTCAGATTGAATTTCAGGCTGGGTTGCACCATCTTACTTTGACTGTAACAAACGTCAAAAATCTGTCAAACCCCATACAAAAAACACCGGATAACGTTGAAGTTACGCGTAGATGGTGCTACTCACCCTTAAAGATTTAAAAAGTCTACTTGGGTATGAATGGGCAGTGATGATGATATCGCTTGCCATCAATCAACTAACCAATTCGTTGGCTATTATGAAAAAAAAAACATGTAAGCAGTTTAACCTCTGACTTGAACTAAAGATAACAAAAATTCCCAGCGCTTGTAATTGATCAGTTACTGTTTCCATTTGTATACAAACTTATCATCAACATTAGCTAGTTTTTACCCGCGGCTCTACTCGCTTGAATATTGAAAAGATGAAATATTAGAAAATTTCCACTGTTCTCATACTAAGTACCATTAGTGATTAGTGTAGGCAAGCCTTCTCAGTAGACTCACAATCTAGTGAAGGTTTGACCTTCTCTGGTATGGTAGCGTCTGCAGGTAGAACAGAACTAGGACTTTATCCAGCATTGGTTGAATTTCGGCTGTAACGATTGGTGAAAAATTTGTTAGAATCGATTCAGCAGTTCCCGAGACAAACACACAAAAACATTTTTTGTTTATATCGAAACTAAATTTTATATAGAACGTGTTGCCTAAGATACAGCTTTATTGTGACTTCCGTCATTATCAAATACTGACGTTAAAATAATTTGAGAACATGAAGTACGTTTGGGTGTTATTTTTAGCGGTTTTTGTAGCGCATTCTCAAGCGTTCAAGTTTACGAGATGCGGATTGGTTCGGGAATTGAGGAGGCAAGGGTTTCCTGAGGACAAAATGAGGGACTGTGAGTACAGTCTTAAACGTTTATTCTAAGTGAAGTGTACATTTTTAGTTATGTCATGATTCGCCTGATGACACTTGGCCTTCACCTGATTTAAGTTAGTGAATAGCAGAGGAGGAAATATTATAAGCTCATGACTTTGGCATTCAACCTGATTTACTTCATAGCATTAGACGATTACTACTGCTCTTTCATCATCATCATCATTTCAGCCACAGGACGTCCACTGCTGAACATAGGCCTCCACCAATGATTTCCACATCGCCCGGTTGGTAGCGGCCTGCATCCAGCACCTTCCTGCTACCTTTAGCTAATATTCTTTAGTTGACTAATAAGTAAATAAATAAACACTGCATTTAATTGGGTGTGCTTTATAAATTATTAGGTTGAGAGCTTAAAGTAAATAGCCGACAAAACACTTACACCCAAAAAAAAACAACTTTAAGAAAACAAATTTTTGTTCTAGATTAGATAAAATCATGTTTATTCGTTACAGGGGTCTGCCTCATAGAGCACGAGAGTGGACGGCGTACCAATGTCGTAGGACCGAGAAACAAGAACGGTTCCTACGATTACGGACTATTCCAGATTAACGATGGAATCTGGTGTAGCAATTCCAACACGCCTGGAAAGGATTGTAATGTTAAGTGCTCAGGTTGGTGTCTTTACAATTTTTTTTCAATCATCATAATCCCGTTACAGTGAGTGACTCATAAGATTCTTCTAATTAACTGAAAGCACTGATCGAACGTTCACCAGTCTAATCTTTTACCTACATCCTACTGATATCGGTAACTCTCAATAGTTTTTTGTTAAGATGGCCTATAATTTTTCTTAAACAAGGTCCCCATTCCAAAATGACTCCAAAATATTAATCTGTACACAACATGCGATTGGTCTTAATACTGAAATTCAACCAATTTCAGACCAATTCTCATCTATGTTTGATCTTGAATTCGCTTTTGACATTCGTTTCTAATTTCTAATACTGATTTACTATTTTAAAAATGAATATCCCACTACCACTTTATCTCAGATGTTGTTCTAAGAATTTTCTTTGTGAAAATTATTTATCATTCCAGACCTCATCACAGATGACATCACAAAGGCTTGCACATGTGCGAAGAAAATCTTCAGGATCCAAGGCTTCCTAGCCTGGTATGGCTGGCGAAACCATTGCACGCACCCGAGCGATCTTCCCGACATCAGTATGTGCTAAAGAGAATATGTAAATGAGGTATAAATGTACCTATTAAAAATTCATATTGAAGTCGGCTTTAAGGACCCTGAAGTAGGCTATGTCTCAAGTATCCTGTAGGTACACGACCGTGTATTCTAAGTGTACTTCACTTAATTTTATCTCTCTGTACAAAGTTGTTGTTGTTCTTTGTAATGTTTATTAAATTAAAGTTTGTTGCTTCTGATAATTATATTCACTCTGAAACAGATTTTTTGTCAGAGAATTCATTGTGAAAAGATGCTACAAAAGGACAGATATTAGTACTTCAACCTGCCTGTGTCCTCTTGAGTACTATTAAGAAGCAAATCTTTTGAATAAAAGCAGAATTAAACGTTTTTGTTGTTTTTGTTTTAATATAGGCAGGTGTTTGACCCCACTCTGTCTATCTATTCATTTTTATCTTGAAGAGGTCTGTTTTCGAGCTATATGCGAGTTAATAAATATTTTGTTTGTGAAAACTTTGTTCAGCTTGTTTTGAAAAACTAACTGAAAATCAATTACAAACTTCGTAATTGATTAATTTGTTTTGTGTTTATAAAAACTCAATAATATACTCCTAAATAAAAGTTTGCTGTAGAATAAATTTTAAAATAAAGCCTGGGGAGTGGAGCTAGTAGGGCTAGGACAACCCATTATTAAAGTTTTATGTAAATTCAATCTGTATTTAGATTCAAGGAGGAGATTTTTATTTAAAATCAAGTAAATGAAAGGAGTTATCTAGGTAAATAGAAGCTAGAAGGTGTAGGAAATATTCTATATTTTCTATAAATAATAAACGAAGTTATCAGCTATGTGACACGATACGAGTGTTGCAAGGGCGCTCGAAGTAACAAGATGTTCGAGTAAGTGATCCCAGAGGATATTTGAAATCGCCGAGAAAGTCTCCCTTTAACGCGTCACGAAAGATTTTTATAGCTGTCTGGGAAATGTCGCAGATGCAAACACACACAAGCAAAGTATAATAATGTTTGGTAAATACTATCAAAATCTATCAGTATGATTTACTAATAAAATTAACGTTTTTCCAATTGCCAATTTGCTCAATCCATTATTTTAATTATTTGTCTTTGAAAACGCGTGTTCGTTCATACTTCAAAATAATGCAGCATGGACTTCAACACTTTTGACTTGAAAAATCTGCTGTCTTAACCTTTAACTGGTGACAAGCGGTCTCACAGGCCGGGCGGCGTCAGTGAAACTTCGTTTCACCCACTTCCCAGTGCTTCCTATGTTTCACCGCTTCAGTAGCTTCGAATTAGGTTGCGTCTACGCCGTAGAGAAGGATATTTGCATCATTCAGCTCCAAATCATCAAGTTACATCGATGTAAAGTTCAGCAGCGGTCTCTCAGACCGCATGTCACCAGTTACGTAACATTTTTTCCATGCAGTTTTTTCGTATTTTTACAGTTTTACAATTGTTTTGATACTTAAATACCCTCAAAAAAGAAGCGTAGAGTCATTAGTTGAGAATATAGTGTCATTCTTTATGAAATGACTAGACAATTCGCCAGTTGAAAAATATCTGGAACAGGAAGACTTAAGTGGGTCGGAATATGCCGATTATGTTCCTGAAAACATCGTCCTGGAGCAAAGTGACCATGATTCGGAAGCTGAAGACAGTGTTTTTGGAGATGAAGGACCAATTGACGAGAATCAGTCAGAAAGTGAAAATGACGGTCCACCTTTATGCCAAACAATAAACGCCCTGACAGCCAATAAAAATACAAAAGTTTCACCGCTGCCAGTTTTCTAAAATGATAGGTTACCTACGTGTGATTAGGTTTTTTAAATTGATTATTATTTTAACTATAATAAAAAATACTATTTTTGTTATAATTTGTTTATTTATATTTCTTTGTTTGTAATTATCGATCTCATCTCTAGTTTTTTGATTTTTGTTACAACATATAATTTAACAGCAAGTTCTGCATTAAAAATGATGTTTAGAGTTTATTATTTTAATTTTATTTTATTGTTCTATATGCTAATAACCTGTTTTTAAAGATTGCGATATGCTACCTTACATAGTATCTATACTATAGACCAGATACGGTAGCGGCCTCTCAGACCGTACGTCACCAGTTACGTTACACAAAAACCATGTCACCAGTTAAAGGTTAATATGGAATAGAACCCGTGACCTTTCGTTTGCTGGGTGACGGCTCTGACCACTGAAAATTTAATTAAAATTCTGAATATCCCATAAAAAAATAATTTAAGAAATTCATCTTTACGTACCTAATGACTTCAAGCCGTGGACTTTACTGCTTGACTATTATATCTTTTTAAGCCGCAGCCGAGTGTATAAGTACTAATATCACAAACGATAAATATTTTCAATGTGCAACCATTAATAAACAATTTAACTCCCATTTGTGCAGCGGGACGTGCCAAATACGCGAAATTTATACAACCAATAACACCGACGATTCCATATCTAAAGTGCACTGAGGACTACCAAATGGCTCCATATAACGCATCTGCAATGGAAGCTAACGTTCAATAAGGGATCAGCGTTCGATGTCGTCAAATGGAGTATACAATAAGAATGTACTTAATAAAAACTTCAGAAATAATCTCTATACTTATTTATAAAAATGTAATCACGAGCTAAGGGTGGAAGCGAGCTTCACCCGCAATTTTCAATCAAAATCAAAATCAAAATCAAAAAATATTTATTCAGTTTAGACCACAAGTGGCACTTATGAACGTCAATAGAAAATAATAAAAAAAGAAAAAGGTAGCCCTTATGGGGCACTTTACATGTCTCCTTATCTTTTGGGTCCTACCAGCGCTTCGAGACAAACATATGGCAAGTGCTGAGAAGAAACGCCGGAACAAACTCAGTCACCACTTATTGCCAGGAATTATCTAACGGTAAGAATAGTCAAATTTAAGTACATCAAATATGTGCAGACTGAACTGAATCGAAGAGAAACTGGCTATATAACCTGCATTGCCGAAACACAACAATCCTAACAACAAAGCTATAGCGACGGACTTAGGCTGAGTTGCACCATCTAACTTTAACCGTGACAATATCGATATGCGGTGTTTTTTGTATGGAGTTTGACAGATTTTTGACGTTTGTTAATAATCAAAGTCAAATGGTGAAACTCAGCCTTAAACATAAGGGCTAAGTGACATTGCCTCATGTGTTGTAAATATTTCATCATGAAAGATAAAAGAGCTTGGACGTGAGATCAGAGTTTTGTAATCGAATGATCTATGTCAGCAAAAATACAAAATTGAAGTTTAGAGAAAGAAAAACATTCAAATGAGGTTTTACTAAGTTTTGTCCCTCTTCTATTGTCTCCTATTTGACTGAAAACTGTGCAAATCCAGTCACTTTTTCGTGTCCTTCTTTCTTCTTTTGGTTATGTGTTGCTTTAAAATAGGTAAAATAAGTAAATCATTTGTTAAAATATGGTCTCCACCACCACACGTCATGGATCGTTTTCTGATATTGAATCTGATTACGTATTAGGACTCAGCCATAGTTAATACAATAATTACCTATGTAGTTTTGGACAGACCATAGAGTATTTACACGGATGTACGTTTAACTATTATCACTAACTAACCACATAAAAGGAGGATCAGTGCAAATTAAATACCGATTCGTTTATTAAAACAAAGTTGTATTAATATGGTTCTGGTTATTACCTCAGTTAATGCTTGGTTTTATTACTATTTCAATTGAATTCCATACATAAAAGATCATTAATATTAATTAATAACAACATAATAATTGAAAATATATAAATTACAATGGCAGTAATAACAATTCGAAATTATATTTTATCAGCTTTTCATTTTCAGATTAAACTAACTGAAATTAAATTGCTATTAAATTTTATCCTTTGAGCTAAGCAATTGAATTAGAGAGATTAAATTGACATTACGTTAAGTTCTGTTTTATCCAAATTTTATTGTACTGAATTGTTAAATTGTAAGATTTACTAGAAGTAGTCACCTAATGGTATGATATGGACATACAACACGTAAAGAATTCTATCGGCTTAAATTATTTTACCATTTTGAATTGAGTGTCGTATAGAAAGAGGCGCGAGTAGGAACTATGTAAGTATGCCACGTTTTTTCAATAAAATAACTTTTTATAGGAATCTCATTATTTTTAGACATGAAAATTTGTGAATACATCTTTTTTAATTGTTTCAGAATAGAAAAACAGTAAAGTGGCAAATAATAATGAGAGTTGAAATTTCGAAAATCCTCTCATAAAGAGTAATTTAAAGATTGTATGAGAAAGCGATATTTTAAAGCTAGACATGCACTAAAAACTTTATTACTTCAACTATTTAAAACCCGTCTTTATCCGTCCAAAGTTATTGTAGGTACCTACGTAGATTCTATACCAGAAATGCCTGAAAATTTATTATAAAAGTCCACAACTGAATCACGTCAAGCATAAAACTGAAATGAACGGTTTGCAAGCACTTCTCACAAAGGGTTTTATAACGTTCTATCGAGCCAAGTAATGACTCGCGGAGTGGACCTCTATGTTTGCTTTGTTGGGTCTTGGCATCTTACAAAAAGAATCCGCCATTTTGGGAATCGTTCCAGCCTTAAATATGTATAAGGTTTATAGAGCGAGTGTTACTTCAAAGGGATATATAGCTCTAAAGTAGCAGTAATAGTTTTCATTACAGAAAATACAAAGTAAAAGCACATTTAGCACGAGCCAAGTCGTTCTGTCGTCGACGGAGACGTTTTGGAATTCGTATTTTCTGTATAGGTTCATTACGCTTTATACTGGCTGAAATATTCTGGAAAATTTTGTATCAATTTAGTTAATTACTTAGTCTTTAAGAGACAACCTGAAATGTTAACTTTTATTTTGAAGTAAAAGGTACGAGTAAATTTTGATAGTTGACGTATGCCACTTGATTTTAGCAATCAAAAATCCTGTGGATTTTGTTTTGTTTTTTCTCAAATATTATTATTATAGGCCAAAAATACAACCTACTATCGCAGTGAAACAAGCAACCATCAAAAGAGTCATCATTTTATGCATGAGCCATTAACTTAATCTGTGTCTAAAGTTTCATCATAATGTAATGAATAAATGAATGAAAAGTGTACCTACAATGAACACGCTAAGTCGATCCAAAACGCTTTCCCTTTCCTTCTCATTTAATAGTCCGTCTGTTCAAAACAAAAGTATTGTTAAGCTAACCCACTAACGTTTCTCACAAAAAAAGTCCACAACAAAAGACGGCAAAAACAACAAAATAGTTTTAAAAAACTGCAAGCCAAGTTTCTGTTTCGCCGCATTTATATCCAGCATCTCTTCAGGGTTCAGATTACGCCA